ATGCTGCTAGATTCAATAGCTTTATATTCTAAGAGGATTTTGATTAAAGCAGCACTTTCAGGTTTATTTAGACACCCCTCGCTCCTTTTTAAAAACAATTGATGTCCAGAAATTCTGACACTGATTCTGTTAAATTAATTTGGAATGCCCAAACACCATCTCTCAAGTCTAACTCACTGCACTAGGTTAAGACACTTTAGAGTAACTGAGAAAGGGGCACTTAGCAGCAAAGGTGAGCAGCTCTTTGTCATGCCATGTTTGCTTCAAGACTGTATGGTCACAGACACAAGACTCCTATATCTGTTGGAGTTTAGTAATAATTTACTTTGCAATAGCAATTATTCTAGTTTCAAAAATAGCATCATCTATACATTTAGACAAAAGAAAGATCTAGAGATACAACTGCATTTTTGGTTTCTTTGACATAGATTTCAAAGAGAAGGGTAGACACTTTGAATATCTCAGTGTTGAGATGATGAATTTAAGGTTATTTCAAGAGGATTAAAATTGGTCCCACCAATCAAGACTGTGCTTTAGGCCCACACATGCTGAGGATGGGCATACTAAATTTCTTCTTGTCTACTAAAGCCAAAAGACAGCAGGCACTCAGGTGTATTTCAAACCAAACTTGAGGCTGTCAAGCAAATATAGTCTGAGATCACCTGAGAGGACAAGGCCCCTCAGGATATGAAGAGATGTTTTCTTAGGCTTCAGTGGTGGAATTTCAGTATAACCTGTGCCTGGGTGGCATTGCAGAGACCTCTGTCCAGGTCATGCTGCATATCCACTTTCTGAGACCCAAGTCCACTTATGATATCCAACATTGTAAATCTAAAAATTAAGGCACCTAGGGCTATTATCATTATGTATCAAAACTCATTAAAAATGAAGACAACTGTATTCTGGTTCAGTTAAAACAAGTCGGTGTCCAAATACTGTGTCTGTTAATTCATGAAATATCTGTTGAACTTGAGATACTCTACCTTGGAAGCAGTTTTACTGTCTTTTGTGTAAGGAAATTTCCATTGGCACCTGAGTCAGAAAAATTTGGTCAGAAAGATATAAAATATATAAAAGAAAATTGTTATCAATTAAAAATGTGTTTCATTCTTCTGTACAGGACAAAGAATAAGCAGATGGCATAATAAGATGAGAACAAGGGGAAATTTACAGATCAAAATATCTAATTTTCTGTGTTAAATGGAGCAAATTATCAGGAGGCAATAAACAGAAAATTAAAAAGATGAGAGAGAACAGTTACTTGGCTTTTCCTTATCAGCATGCACGGTAGTGGAGATAAATGCTTACATTACCCATTGTTCTGGTCTGGTTTCCTTTTTGACTGTCCTGGAAAATTCTTACTAAAACATTGACAATTGATGGAAGTTCAAAGAACAAGCAACTTGATTTTTTGTTTGAGAAATAAAAATCAGAAACCATTTAAAAATGTTATTAATTTAACTTCCTCCTTGAATCTTTAGGTCATGTTGTGCATGTCTTTGCAAAACAAACACTGAAGAAGGCGGCAGTCAGACACTCCATGTAGAAGTCCTAAAAATCCTTACTTTCAGATACAAATGTGCTCATTTACTGTATAATTCAGGGGTTTGCAGACACAAGTACGTGTGTCACATCACCACCCACCACCACCTCCACGAACATGTTTTAAAAATCCGCTGAGGTCTGTTCAAAATTCAATTGAAAAAATATTACACTAAAGAGTGAGAGTCATATTGGAAATGCAGACAATTTTGCTACTTCTGATCCCAGCTGTGCTAGAACTGTTCATTAATTTTATCTGTACAGACAAGCAGAGTATATGAAAGTCTTGACCAGGGACTAGTTTAGAAGTCTTCCAGCTATATCAAAGGTATCTTTTAAGAGTTGATCACATTTCTGAAGCTCTGTCTCAATTTCATACCTAGCTGAGTTTTAAAAAGCTACTTAGATTTTGTTATAAATTCTTTATTTTTAAGTCATTATCTGAAAAAGTTTTTTAATATCTTGGGGGAAAAAACCCATAACAGATTCAAAATAGTCACATATCCCAGAAAAAAAAATATGTGCAGTCATTTTCTAGTTTGCTTAAAAATAGGGAATTAAGTGTTGTTATTTTTTATATTATATACATGAAGAACTCATGAACAGCAGTTATCATTTTATAGGAAAGAAATTGTGCTCAAGTGTAAAAGGCAAACCAAAAAATTGGTTAAACTGTATCCTTAAGCCTACCTGAGAACTGGATGAATAAAATAAGTAAAGCAACCTAAATTTCATGGTCTGACTAATAATTACCCTTACTTACCAGTTCTTCTCTAGCTACAATTTCCTCCTGCACTTTGACTGTCAATGCTGATATTATCTTTAAGAGTAATACTTCTCCTTTTACCTTTGTACCGTCACGCTTAACAAGGGCAAAAGGTGAGCAGACTGAGGAATTAAAAGTGGAAATGAAGCACACTTTTCCAACAGAAAAATTGCCTAATTAACTTATTTGGAGAAGTTATGGGATCTTGAACTTTGTTTGAATTCCTATCAGAATGCACGTTTTATTTTAGGAGGGATGTAGAGGGAATTTGAAATCATGCACTGTGAGAGAATAACTGGTTCAGTCTTAAAGTTAAGTGTACCTAAAAATCTATATGTGAGAGAGATTCTGAGAGACCACCATTACACAGACTGCAAATATTCCTATCCTTTCAATATATGCATGAAGGTTGCCCAGTGGAGTCATATACCCATGCAGGACATCCATCTCAACACTAAGTACAGTTTCTACCAACGTGCCCCAGCAGCAGGAGTGCAGATAACGACACAGTGACTCACTGGCAATGCAAAGAGCAGGTCAGTACAACAGAGTCTGCTGCTGATGGCAAAAAAGAAAGAATAAAGAATATTGTATATTCTGAAATGATAACAGATTCATACTGATTATACTGGTTTTGTCTCAAATAATGCTGTGTTAATATGTGGGGGAGGTTTCTAAAAAAACACTCAAAACTTAAAAAAAACACTTTGCCCTATGTATTTTTCTCATGTCTAAGAACATATGGAGGTATTCTGAATATCTTCTCTGTGATTTCTGTTTCTAGGACTGAAAGATAAAAGATGCCTTCATCCAGGGACTGTATTAGAGCTCAGCAATTGCTAATGATGATATTAGCTTTTATCATCCCTGTATCTACCAATATTAAGAATGAAATCTTGGATCCACTCTCTGTAGTTAATCCTTTTTTGGCATCCTATCCATAGGAAAGAAGAACTGGATTACACAGAACTAATTTGAAGTCATATCTCCCCTACATATATAGAATCTTTGTTAAAATTATATGTTTTCTTACCAATGGATGTATTTACATTACTCAAGATCCTGGAATGGGAATCCTCTTCTAACATTGCCAAAATTTCTTTACCCAATGACTTGGCTATGGCTGTACACTATTTCTGCCCAGTCCTGACAAATTTAGATTCTGTGTCCTTGGAATGATGGAAGATTCAGCTACTAGAGTGAATCATATGGCTAGTCATGGTGAATTGCATTTAAAATATCTTGCCCTAGTTTGGTTGGTTGTTTTGTTTTGCTTGTTTGTTTTTTTCTTGAAGATCTCTTTGTTAATTAGAATTATTAGAATATTATCCAAACCAGAATGCCTTTGCAAAAACATACCCAAAATTTGGATATTTCAGAACTACTCAAAGACAAGAACCACAAACCTACTGGTTTCTTCTCTTTCAGCCTGCCTTAAGCCCAGACACAAAGTTGGGGTGATGGTAGACATGCACAGCTTTAGTGCCACCTTACTTTGATTACTTCTAAATACAAGAATGAGTCCTGGGCAGTCCTGATAGCCAAAACATTCAGGAAGTCAGGGCACAGAGGGGCAGACTGTGTACAGTATGCTCTCCTCAGTTACACTCTGCATGTGAGTGTGTTTCTCCTTATTAGGTGCTGTGGTTTTAAAGAAGTAACTAAAACACTAGAAAACTTACTTATTTCTTGCTGTGAGATATGGATGAGAACAAGAGCAAAACAGGCTTAAAACTTAAAAGAAACAAAGAAAGTTTTTTAACAAAAACTACAAGAATAGAAAACCAGAATAAAACCTCCAGAAACCCCTTTTCCCCCAACTACCCAACCATTCCCTTGTTCACATGACAACATAGAGACAAAAAAACTTTGGTGGTTAAAACAGTCCTGATTTTTGAAATAGTCCTTTCATCAGTCTTTGTAGAGAAAAAGAAGTCCTCTTCTGCTAATTTATAGAATTTTTCACAAGAAAACCATTTTCTTCATGTTTTTCTATTTCTCTGATGCCAGCTGCCCAGAAATTCTGCCATCAGTTCTCTCCTCCCATTTCACATCACTCTGAGGTATGTTATGGGTCAAATGAGTCTAGGGATGTCATTTTTAAGGATGAGTTATTCAAAGGCAGAAATTCTCTTCATCTGATTTTGTGAGCCTGTCTGGAAACAGAAGTTTTCTCTTTGCCTCTTAAAGGCCACAAATCTTCAACTATTACCTCTCTTTTTCTGTTCCAGCCTCTCATAGGATCACAACTACTTCACCATTTGCTTAAAATCCACACTTTGAAATACTCCATTCCTCCCAATATACTGAATATACTGTCATGAATTAAAGGAGTTTTTTTTCAGAACACTACTGTCCATCTCCATAGCTTTAACAGAAAAAATATTTCAGCTTATTAAAGCATCTTTTCTCTCCCCCCTCTGAAGCTTAATTCCTTTCTTCACTGTCTTTGATAGTTTATGGTGTCTCTTTACATGTTGATCACTCTCTCTTCCCCTCTCTCTGGAAAAAAAATTAATCTGCAAGTCTCATCTGGGTAGTAAGAGAGTTAAAGTCTTGCTTAAGCTGCAGGTGTTCATGGTGTCAGGTTTCAGTTCAGCAGCAGAAACTGTAGCCGAGCAGGGGAACCGGCCTGGCCCGGCCGGGCCCGCTTTCTGCCCCAACTCTTCGCGGCCTTGTCCGGCCTGGTGGCGGGGGGAGGCTGAGCTGGAGCCCTGTTACCTCTTCAGAAGCCAGACACCAAAGAGAACAAGAAATTCCTGGATTTACATCTTAAGGTGATGTTCACAGGTTGATCTCACTTTTCAATGGTCAAAACCACTGTAAATTCTCAGAAATGGCCAGTTATTGGCCAGGAGAAAAAACTCCCATCAGCCTTCAGCAGTTTCAATTTCCCTAGCTCTGAAAGCCAGTCTTAAAGATGCAGAACTTAATATATAACATAAACCAGGTGATTTGGGATACCAGTATCATAAAATCACTCCAGGACACTAGGGAATACTAAGAAAGGATGTGTGAAGCCAGCATGTACAGCACCTGAATGTAGGTAGGATCCCTGTGCAGGGCAAGAACAAATTACCTTGTTCTACTGAGCTCCAGACCAGAGACCAAAATTTTTAGCTATCAGGAAAGCAAGAAGCAAAAAATTTACTCAAACATCCTTAGTCATTGCACTTTTATGCAGTAATGAGTGACATCAGTCTGTGCTAGAAGTTACTGGGAAATTTCAGATTCTAGCTACAAACCACAGTGCCATGCAATGTATGCTTCATTGTATCTTTCAGTTCTTATAATATAAAGGGTTAATGTCCCACTCTGAAAAAAAGCAATTATTTTTTTTTCTCCAGTCCTCAAAATCTTTCCTCCACAAAGCATCCTCTGTTGGATCAGGTGTGGAAAAATTTATTCCCACAGAAGAGTAAGCTAGTTTCTTTCTGATTATTAAATCTGTAAAGTAGATGATTGCCTTGGTTGCTCCATCTGATTCAGCTGAGATGGAGCTAAAATGTAAATGAAAAACAAAGTTTCTGCTGTAATCTTTGCCTTGGGCTTATCCTTGAATTCCTCGAGTTCCTGCTTGTCTTGTTCATTCCAGAACTAGACCTGGAACAATTCCTGGTGTGTTATCTGGGACAACTATTCAAAAGTGGTGAAAAATGAGAGAAATTTAACAAAAGACAAAAATTTATTTTGGAGATCACCCATTTTTCTTACCTATTCCTGTTCTTAAATAATTCAGGGAGTGATTGGGATGTTTTCTCACTCTGCTCTGGTACTGTCAGTACTGCTATTATGGGTGCTTGATTAATGGACTAAATTCCACACCCCAAATGCAGCCTGGCAAGAGTGGTATCCTAGTAAAAGACTGTATCATCAGACTCATAATAGATGTTGAAAAGGATATGTAAGGCTTATTAAATGCCAGGTATCTGTTTAAGTGAATAACCAAAATGTTCATGCCCAAATAACTCACTAATAAAAGAATGTATAAATTATGTTGTGAAATGGGGATTAGTAAATGAGTAAGATAAATTGTGTGTTAAGGGATTAAAATGTGAGCTTATTTGTTGTGTAATTATGCCTGTAAGTGTTCTATATTAACAATTACTAGTTCTATTGTTAATAAGAGGGGAGGTTATGGCTTTATGAACCCCTGATCAGTAGAATAATAGCAGTATGTGGATGACAGAAAGGAAAAATAAAGGGAATAAAAATAAATTAAGTTAAATTATTTATGAAAATATAGTAAACAAACTTGTTGCAACTTCCATTGTAGGCACAATGGAAAGAAGGTACTAGAAGCCAAGGAGTATCAACCTAGCAGCAGATGGAATTTACATTTACAAGTAGGTGTTACAGGTGGGATTATATTCTTCCATACCATGAAGTATTTTTACAAAAAGCACTCCTTGTTTCTAGCTGCTTAAGAAGAGATTTATCTTCCCCATGCTGAGAAGAGTCTCACTGAATTTCTTATTACCTTTTCATTTCAGAACTTTTATATCTGGTCCTAAAGACATTCCAGGTTCAATGAAGGAAATTATGGAGAAGGGATTCCAGCAAAGGAAATATTTTCACCAGCACGGAAGTCAAGCATTGTCGCTTCTTGCAAAAAAAACCTAGTTTTTAGATGAGGAAATTCATAGGAAAGGTTTAAAAGAGGTGCAGGGAACACTTTTGTGCTCGGTATTTGAACAGTCTCTATGGAAGAAATGCGGCACAAAACATCCAGCTATTTCCACAGGAAGAATAATGAAGACCCAAGAGATGGTTAGGAGACAGAGGTCTTTGGAGGAGAGGAGAAACGGATTTGCTCAGTCTTAAGAGAGGAAGGGTAAGGGTGCTAAGGGGAGATCTTATTGCTGTCTGCAAAATAATGCAAGGCTGTAGGTAACATAGATCACACTTGTCTTTGCATCGCACTGTGATCTGACAAGAGGCAATAAAAACAAAGCTTGGAAAACAAAAAATTCCAGTTAGAGTTCAGGGAATAATCTCCCCAAGCCATTTGTTTAAAAAAACCAACCAAATAAACAAAAAAACCCCACTGATGCCCTTACTTTATAAAGGGTACACAGGAATTTTAACATGATTTTCTCTTTAAATGTTGAAATGTCATACTTATCATTAAAAAAACAACAAAATATCAAAATACTTGTAAAGGGACAGAATGAGTCTGGAAATACACAGAATTTCAACCAAGAGCCTGAGATCCATCCTTACATATATATGTATATATGTATATATGTATATATGTATATATGTATATATGTATATATGTATATATATTTTTCAAGATATATATTGATTTATGAAAATAATGTACAAGTAGTGGAATACTTTTGATTAAAAACATTGTAGTATCTGAGAAAACTAACATGATTTAGAGAAATGGTGACAATTAAAAAGGGAAAGACAACAGCATAAAGGAGAAAATGATGATTATTTACATTTTTGAACTTTCCTTGGACTGAACCCATTTCAACAGGAAATGGTCCACACTTCTTGATATTTCAGTGAACCAACAAGTAAGAATTTTAGAAGTTCTAAATTGTATAATAATGTTAAATTGTGGGTATATGCATTTCATCATCTGTGAAACTTTCTTCATGTGCTTTATTGCCAAAGGAATTCAGTGGGAATTAGGATGGAAAAAATTTTTCACTGCAGAAATTCTGGTGACATTTTTCCAAAGTAAATATGTGTAGCCTGGTTGTTTTCTTGAGAGATAGATTCTGACCCACTAAAATTGAATTGCAAGAATATGGCAGCACTTTCTTGCACCATGGGATGGATTATTTAAACTCCATGAGGGGAGAAGCCATGCAAGCTCTTTTCAACAGTTTTGTTGTCTGCATCCAACCTGGCTTGAGTTCCTGATTGGTTTGGGCTGTGAATCCCCCTCACTCTTTCCTTATACTACATTGAGAAGGATTTCAGGAAATCTTACCACTGCTCCAGACTGAAACAGTCGCAAACCTGTGCCAACATTCGTACATCATTGTCTTGTACTAGGTGGTTTATTGAAAGTTTTCTTTGTGTTCAGCTACAATAAAATCAAGAGTGTTTATTATTTTATGTCTATAATACCCTGGAATAAGTTTATAAGTCCTGTGCTGTGAGTCAGGCTTCTAGGACAAGGCAAGTAGGATGAGTTCTTGAAGTGTGATTTTAAAGGGTGAATTTTTAAAAACTAATAGGTTTCATGTTCTTTTCTATTTACTAGTTCTGTTTTTCAAGACTATGGATTTCATGCCTGCAAACTTTTCTTTCAGTTATGAGGCTGGAAATTTGTCTTTCACTGTCTTTTTCTTTGTTTTTTTAAATTTAAATGAAGGCAGAGATATTCTCCTTAGCTTTAGTGGTAAGAAAAATATATCTTTTAAAAAATGAAGAATGTGTCTATATTCCTCTCATATGCTGCTGTACCAATTTAATATCTGTGGGGATTTTGTCATATATATTTTAAAATTAGGAAGATCAAGGATGCTTAACACTGTTACTCTTCCAGAGAAAGTATTGCATGGCATTCTTCCTAGCTTGCACTGCAGATTGGCAGCTTTTAGAGAACATAATGTATTTGTTACACAACAGTGTGCTTTGTATAATTTGTCCTTTGTCCCAGAGAGAAAACTAGGTTAAACTTAATATGGTTTGTATGTATATAGGTGTTAACAGAGAACCACATTTTGTAATCAGATCTTAGGCAACAGACCATGCATTTCATTTAGTTTGGAAGCAGAAATACTGCCACTCTGGTAGAATTGCTCTTTGAGTACATTTATTTTCACTATTTTTAAGGAAGGAGGGTCATACTCTTCTCTTACTTCCTGACTTTGGAACACAAGGCACAGGTAATTCAAGTAGCTGGAGAAGTGGGAAAAATACATTAATTTGTCAGTCATTCTGGACTCCTATTCCATATAATAGCAATTACTCCTGCTCTTACATGACATTGCTTAAAAATAACTACATGTCACACCACCTGTCTTACACAATGCAATACAGAATAATACACAGATGAGAAAAATGAAGCTCAAAATTGAAGGAACCAAAGTTATCATTATATTGTTAATATATAAAGAGTCCTTTATAATTGATGTTTTGCACTATTCTGCTGTGGTAGATCAAATAATACAGTCATGTATCTTCCCTAATATCAGGATAAGTCACATCTCACTTACTACCAAGATTTCCAGATGCACTTTGAGTTAATAAAATGCCTGCATCAAATTACAATTGAAAAATTAATATAATCTGATTCAATCACCCACTATTGGATCTGAAAAACCACAAATTAAAGGTAATGACATATAAATATTTTACAGAGGCAAAAACCAGACAACCAGAAGGTGCTGAAATTATTTTCTGAGCTGCTATGTTTGGAGCCCCTAACAGCAGCCTGAATAAAATGAGGAGAATATTAAGTCTTGCAAAGGAATAGTCTTTCCATTAACAGACAGCATGTCCTTTATCAACTGTCCCAGCATACAAAGAAAGTGCAAAGTAGCCTAGTTTTGATTTAGAAACAAAAACATCCCAAACAAACAAACAAAAACAACCGAAAAACAACCAAACATAAGCAAACACAAAAAACCCAACTAAACAAAAACAAATGGCCACTCTCTACTGGACAGTCAAATGAGTGTCTGTTTGATGCCTTAGCAGGCAAGGCCAGCCAAGCTCTGCAGATAACTCAAAGAAAGCCATAGAGGGCTAAAAATTAATGACGAGAATGTTATGTATGGAGCTGAACACAACAGCAGCCTGAAGTACACTGACAAATCAGAAGATATTTAGGCAAGTCCCTAACAATTTAAATTCACTGGGATAACTCAAAATTATACAGATGATGATTAAGGACATCTTCAACATCTACAAATATTTGTAGGGTAGTAGAAGAACCATTTACAGGTAAGGAGTAAATTCATAGAGCTTAAGTTCAGGAAGAAGTAGTTAGAGCACAATGAATCCTATGTTAAGGGAATGCTTACATCAGTTAATGAGGCTGTTGATACTATTAAGTGTAATAATGAGGGAAGACACAAAGTCTAGAGCACGCAGATGACTCTGGGTCTGATATCACTTCCTACAAAAAGGCAATGGACTGCCTTAGTCAGAAATATGCTAACCTTGGTATTTAGACAGATACCTTATGTACAATAGAAATGCACACTTTCAGTGGAGGATATTTTTTTTAATAACAGATTACAATGTTTTTATGCAATGCCTAAATTACACTTAGTCAAAACAGCTCCAGCTTGGTTTTGTTCTTGTATTCCCTGAGTTTTGTGAATAATAAAAATACCTCCCAGAGATCATTGGATCACCTGCTTAGCTGATGCAGCTTGCTTAACTCTCGTGAAGAAAAATGACTCATAGAAATCCCCACAAGCAGTCCTGACTGAACCTGTAGGGTACATGTTATATGTTGAATATGATAATGTTCAGGATAAGTTTGCACTACTGTGCTTTTTTACTTTCTGGAAAAGACATCAGAATGACATGATAACACATCTCTGACAGCCTTTGTAGAATAAATACTGAATGATATGGAATCAGAAATATTCTTCATTCATGACATGATGGTTTGGGAATGAAGCTTTTGCACTTAATTATTAGAAAAAAATATATTGACACAATTTTCTTTTTTAAATAATGTTCAGAAAATGTAGACAGAAAAAGTAAACCTTTTAACCTAAGAACCTAAAGGATAATATATTTATAAACTCTGGTTCATGCACGACTGGGCCACAGTAGTTTAAAGTGATTCTCTGAATGTTTCAAATTGACCAAATACAACTTCCAGAGGGCTGAAAGCCCATTGTGGGGCTCAGTGATCCTCTCATCTCTCCTGTAAATTGACTATTGAATTATGTCTTGCCTGAAGCTGCTAGAGGTGTCTCTGCAGAGGGCAGAGTGGCTCAGCAATTCAGGTCCCAGTGGGTCAGAAGAGGAGAAAGGGCAGAGTCTAACCTTCTCTCAAGAGTTCCTGGGCTTTCAGGTGCTCACTGAGCTGCTATTTAGTTAAAGAAAATACAGTCTAAGTAACATATGGCAAAGACAAATCAGAGCTACTAAGCAGCAGATATTCCTTTAACTCCTTTCATGGCAGGTCACTTTGACAGACCCTGGGTATGACTTCCTGTACCATTACTGTCCCTCTCCAGCCTGGCCTCAGAGGGAGTCTGCTGAGAAAAGCATCTGGTATGCATGAAACTAAAGTCCTTCCTTCAAATTCTTCTCCATGTGGTGCTCACCTGTGCCGTTCCAATCCCTGTTTTATGCCTGTAGTTGGCAAATGCAGCAAATTCCCTTGTGCTGCATGGTTTTATATGTTAGTTAATTCCCCTTCAGAAAAAGGTGCATTCCTTTCTTTATCTCTTTGTAATCATCCTGAAAAGTCTTTGATCTCATGTTATGCTATTCCAGGGCCTTTCCCTACCACACCAAAAAACAATATTTCAATCATTTCAATCCTTCTCAGGATTCCCACCAAAGTGGGAAGAGTGGCACCCCTAAAAATGATCTGTGGGGGATACAGTGTAATGAGGTAAGGGCAGCTATAACACACACCTCCTTCATGTCATGCTTGCTGAAGGGTGATTTTTGTTGGTGGGAAGAGATTATTTTGTTCCTGTGCTTGTAAGGGGACACCTAGAAGGTGTGAAGACATCAGCCATGCTGTCACACTTGTGCACTCGGGCGTGGGACACAACCTCAGTAGGACTCACAAGCCTGGCCGCAGCTCTCAGATAATGCAGCTGTGTGGAACAAAGTACAACACTGTGGCAAACTTAGAGTGAGAGAAGAGCAAGCCCACATGTATGAACCAACAGGCTGGCTGCCAAAGAGTGTGTAAATATGTTATTTTTTTTTCTAAAACAATGCAAAAGTCTGAATAGTATACCACTGACAATTACAAAATTGGCCATGAGTAACCATCATTGCTATTTCAGTCAGAAATTCACTTGGGAAATGCTCAGATTCCATCCTCCCTGAGTAAACTGAATTTTAATATAGTAATTTTGAATTATTATCAGCTCACAAATCTTGGAGAAATAAGGAAAGGGAAGGGTGGCACTACACTTCCCCCGCTAGTCTCCTATAGATAAAAGGAGAAGGAAACCCAATGATTTGTACACCACCCTCATTCCCTATGAATAAGGATCAAATTATAAAATTTGAATAAAGCAGTTTTAGGAGACTTAC